TTACCATTGTGCGACCCGGATACAGTTTTGATGTCAGATATTTGGTTTCTCTATTCCAAGAATTATATCGGGTGTTTTTTAAGTATATACCTACCTATACATAGGCCATATGCATCCTGCGTGTTATTTCATGCCTCATGAAATAATAAATCCACACGACCACACCGTTTACCATCACTTGGTCGTGATTGTTTAAACAAATTATTATTACAGACAAATATCTTCACGACAGTAATTTTCATTCAGCTAATTCGAAGCGTGTCCTCGGTTAAGGTTTATTTTTGTAACGTCGAATCTAAAGTTTTGATATCAACATTGATAGATATACGTTTGCCGCAACTTTTATTTATTTTGCGAGTTCTGTTTAGGTTACTTTAAATGTTGAAATTGAAATTAGCGAGTGTTTTAAAGTTTTTATTTTCTCAACTGTAAATCTACATAAAAGCTTTTGATGTCAGTAGACTTGGCTTATGGTAGGGGTGTTTAGTTGAGATACACGATCGTGGTTGTAAAGCGAGCCTTCTGGCAACGCATTTACATCGTTAAGGGGTTGTAATGGAGAGGTGGAGTCGAGATATTCCATCTAAGTTTTGTCTTTGTACTTTAAAAATGTTTATATTGTGGTTAGCGTAGGGTTCGGTTGGAGTAACAAGCATTTTACTCTATAATTATGATGTAATGGGCGTTTATAACTTTTTCATATAAAAAAAGGGCACTTAAGGGTTAAATGAGATTATTATAATGGATGCATATTAACGAACGTTATGATTTCTTTACCATTGAACTCTTTAACATGTTTAAAGTTTGTCATTTCCTGTGGACAGGAAGTATCAATTTCAATTAACTCCCGCGCAATAAATCAAGTGGTAAATACAGAAACAGGCTTGGATATAAAAACAAATTCCCTCAATTGAGGTGGCGCCTGTCCTATTGTGAATCGCAGTCCCCTTTAAGTGACGTCACGTACGTCTAGCAGGAATAACTTTTCAATTACTTTTACCTCTTTAGTAAAGATTTCCGCCTTTAAAATTTTCGGGAATAATAAACATCTTAAAACGCTAGACTGCGAGCTAAAGGAAGTGAATTATGAATCATCAAGCGATTCCGTTTTAATGCCCTAAAATCTGTCCTAATCGTGATTTCCTCGCGTGCTCCAGAAACTAAGGAGATGAGATCATAAATGGTCGTGACCTGCATGTAAACATCACTTGCCATCTCCCAGATACATTTTTTTTTCGCCGTAAGGAATGGAAAGCACTTTTAAAAATACGTTTATTTACTAGCGAGGACTACTTGCTAAACAAAGCACATTCGTGTAAATTTTAGAATTTGCGTTAATTTAGATTTGTTAACAAGAGCGGCGTGTGGGCGTCGAGGGCGTGAGAACCGGCTTCGGTAGAGATTCTCGCCAATTTTTGCGCTAATTTTGGAAATAGGTAACTTCTGGTAGAACGATGCGAATATATACCTAATTGTGAAATCACGCTTACAACTTTAGAGGCATCAGCTCGTCAAATTAATCGTAAATGGAATTGACTTTTATAATTGCGTATCAAATAAAATCCCACAAGCAGTTAGAGGCGAATCGTTAAAAAATTAAAACATTAAACAATGTGGGTTTGCTCATTTCATTAGTATTTCAATTAAGTTCTTAAATGAATTTATTAGACATAGTGCAACCGTCAATTTATATGTAGGTATCTACCATCATAATCTTTTTAAAAAGTGTAATATGCGGGAAACATTTACTTTTTTACAGTTTTAATAATTTCTATAATAAATCATTGTTTAAAAAGGTTGTTCGATTAGCATCAAGTGTCTGTCATTAAATTGTCTTTGATCGATGCTACCTATAATAAAAGATGGATCAACGAAAGGCAGTAAAATACGATATGCATACTACATATCATACTATACCTATACACTTATACAGTTAAATTATAGCAATAGTTTGAAAGAAGGGTGGTATAGTTTTAAGACTGGATCAAATTTTAAATTCTTATTATAATATTGGATTAGTTTACTGTGGTTCATAATTAAAAATAAGGAAAGAAATAGTACATTATATATCAAGGTAGAGAAGTCAACTATTATTGCCTGAGCACCAAGATTACATCTCGAGGCGCTTGCGCCGAGGGGTGTAAGGTGCGAAGGCAATAATAGACTTCTCTACCGAGGTATATATACTATTTTTTTCACTACTAGCACTTGAAATCCTCTAAATTAACATATTATATTGATAAGAGAGTTAACGGTTGGACAGAATTGTTTGTTTCTTAATTTAACATGTCAATCAAGTACGTGGAAGTACAAGTCAAACAGGCCGTATTTTGTTCTGTCATTGAGATTTTTCAAAGAGTAATTTCGTTCGAATTTTTTCAAAATGTGATAATTTTAGGTATGTAATTTCTCTGGAAATTGCGAATGGTGGCAATTATTCGTTTTAGAGAACTTGTCTAAACGTTCATTGAGCGAAATTTCGGGTTGTGTTTTCTAAAAGTGACAGCGTGACAGTTCTCATTATTGACTACTAGTTAATAATAAAAAATTATTAACCACTTTGAACAAATGCCGAGAAAGCCTACTTTACAAGTGGAAAAAAGGTTAATAATCATGTCATCAGACGCTAGTAGTGAAAAAAATAAGTTATTGCATTTTTCTGAGCATTTTTCTTTTTTGAAGCTTCTCTAAGTAGAGGCATTGTTTAATAAAGTACTTAAACAATGGTAGGCGTTTTGCCACTCTTCCACTTTTCAAATTCCACACCTCAATTATCTGTGTTAGTTGATAACGTATACCGGTTGATCATTTTTCGCGATGGTGTTGGGTTGTTTTGTAATAATAATAATCATATTTATTCCAAAAAAAAATTTTTTTAGAACCTCATGGCATAGATTCAGCAAAACGCTGCTCTTCCATCTACACCATGACAAAACAGAGAATATTTGTACAGAGCAAAACAGCGAAAGAAAACAAAATTATTTTAGAATAACTACTTACTAAGTATAGTGAAATGATGAATGAACAGATTGAAACATAAAAGACAATACGAACAGGAATAATCAACAGTAACACGAAATCAAATTAAAGAGTGAAATAAAAGTTTAAACAATTGTTTTTTGAACTGACGAGTTGGTAAACTCTTAAGAGGCGACGGCAATGCATTGTACATCACAGCAATGGTGTAGCTAAATGACCGCTCAAATAGTGCTGTTTTATGTTGAGGTATAGTTAGTAGCCCTCTATGCCTAAGATTTAAATTGTGAATGTCAGTCCTAAATCTGATCTTATTGTATAAGTATGGTGGCCGCTTATCGGAAATGATTTTATGAAATAAAACAGCATTTTGGAGATGCCGTCTACTCGTCATTGATAGCCAATTAGCGTCCTTTAACTTATGTAATGTGGTCATATTTAGAGATTCCGTATACAAAGCGGAGACAAGAATTCTGAACACGTTGAATACTATGCGTTGTATCATGGGTAATACAGGATGAGTAAACCGGGGAACAGTGAGCAAAATGTGATAACACCAGAGAGTTGCATAACATTAACTTAATTGAAGTACTCAAATAGAATTTATGGGGAAACAATAATCTCAAGTTCAAAAATGCTCTCTGAATGCACATTGTAACGTGAGGTCTAAACCTAAGGGATGTGTCAAGAATTACGCCTAGATTCTTACATTTATCCACAAATGGGATGGCCAGATTATTAATGTGCATTCTGGGCATTTGGGATTTTGTTAACTTATTACTAAATAACATGGCATTACACTTAGTGGGATTAAGCTGCAAAGCATATTTTTGGCAAAAATCGCGGGTAACTTCCAAGTCGTAGTTGATTTTCTCAAAAGCCTCGTGATGTTGCTTAAATTAAGGCTAGGTTTACAAACAAACCTTAAAAAGAAGAAAACTAAGATTTATCATTTTGGTTTTCATGCGAAATAAATGTTTCTAATTTTTTTTAATACGAAAACGAAAACTGTGGATTTGAATGTTCTTGGTATACCAAAAATCAATGAATAAACTTAAATTTTACACAATTTGATTTGACATCTGATGATTTGACGTTGAAGTTGAAAGATGGAGATAGAGCCAACTTAGAGATGAAAAGTTACCAAAAACAATGTTACAATGAAAGTCATTGTAACACTGTTTTTGCCGAAAACAGTTGTACAAAATTCTCATTATAGTACCGAAATAGAAAAACAAATTTCTAAAATGCGACCTAAGTGTATTAAAATGTTAGGTCGCATTTTAGAAATTTGTTTTTCTATTTCGGTACTATAATGAGAATTTTGTACAACTGTACAAAAGTGTACAATAGTATATTGAAAGACAAGTGTTACAATGCGACCTATTGTAATACGACTATCTTGTGGCACGAGTGGCGACGCGAAGCGTAGCCACGAGTGTCCGCAAGATAGGAGTATTACAATAAAGCATTGTAACACGCGTTTTTCATACTATTTTTTCTATTTCGGTGCTTTAATTTAATTAAAAAAATCACTAACAGAAACTATAGGGAACATTAGAACTAACATGTTTTAAGTTGGGAACACTTTTTATGCCGTTAAGTTTTAGGTTGGCAGCGTAGTAAGACTGACATTTTGAAGTTCAAATATGGAAGTACCCAACGAAGTACCTACTTGTACTAACTAGTAACTGCCAACTTAAGATAAGAGTTACCAAAAAAAACGACTATAATCATTGTCTTTGTACAACTGTTTTTGGCTGAAAACAGTTGTACAAAATCATCATTGTGACACCGAAATAGAAAAAAGTGTATTAAAATGTTTTAAACTATGTACTAACCTTGTAGACCAGAGTTGGACTGGGTCAAGCATAGAGTGACCCGGTGACTCAGTTGGTTTACTGACCCGGTGACCCAGTTTGACCCGGTGACCCAGCTTGACCCAGTTTGACCCGGTGACCCAGATTGACCCGGTGACCCAGCTTGGCCCGGTGACCCAGTTTGACCCTGTGGCCCAGCTTGACCCGGTGACCCAGTGACCCATCTTTACTCGGTGACCCATCTTGACCCGGTGGCCCAGTTTAAACCGTTGACCCCTAGATTGATCCAGTTGAATCCGGTGACCCAGTAATTAAATTATTGTTAGGTATCATCCTGTGAGGAAACGAAATTAAGGGTGAGGAAATAATCTGCCCCAAACCAGTAAATGAGATTTCCCCCAGATATTTCCACTTAATTTCGCCCCTCCTAATCGTCTTCCCCACCAGATCTCCAAGCTATATATACCTGTGTCAGTCCAGTGTTTGTAACTTTTGCTTTTGCTTCTATCTTTACCAGTGCCTTTTGCTATTAACCAGCCTTATTTACCTGTGATTTATTCCTATATAATTTGTACCCTTAACCGTCGTTCCAGTACCTGTAAAACCTTTGTTAACCTGCACCCCTGTCGTTCCCTGTGTTGAGTGTGTTGCCGTTAGCCCTAGGGGGTTAATCGTAATTAGCGGTCGAGGTGAGTGAGTGTTTATAGTGTCATTAAAACAACAATCTTTCAACCCTTTATTAAACGTGCAAGCTGTTACCTTTATTACTCTGACCAGTTCCACAACAAGTATTCCGCAAGATTACCAGCTACTCTCCATACGTTCCTACCTGTCCGTGTCTTCAAAACGAAATCAGAGCGTGACTCCTGGTTTTATACGAAGTACACCTCCGTAGTATCTTCCCGTCGCCCCGTCCTGCCTGAACCTGGGGCACAGTGCTCCGGCCTACGTTAACCATAAGGGGCTGAAAGCCGTCACGAGAAAGGTTAGTTGTTACAGTTCGAACACTCACCCCGCAGGTTCTGTTGGTTACCTCGTTCGGGTGGCGCAGCCCTCAATCCCGCATCAATTAATTTGTTACATTCTAGACAGCACTGCACGTGGAAATTAACCTACAGTCCGACACGAAAACGGCATTGACAGCAAACCAGCTGACACGCTGGGGCCAGATAACTACCGGCAGATGGCAGTACTCCCCAAGTAAATACGAGGACTGCTCCGGAAATCTTTTATATTATTTTATTTTGTATATATATATTTTATTTCTATTTAGCCAATACACTTTTAATTTTCTTTGCTCGCCAATTATTTCCCGACGCTACCCGAGGCTGTGGGCAAAAGCCGGAACGTACCCAGGGTTGCTCACAATCCAAAACAATTTCAAGTAACTTTTAATTAAAGAAAAAACTCAATAATATTCGCCAACAAGCACGTAGCCCAATTTCATTCAAAAGAACTAATAGCTAAAAAATCAAATGCATTTGTTTATAGTTTGTAGTCAAGTAGTCAATGAAAGTATTTAGAGAAAAGATTTATTTGGATTAAGCTAACTAGTAGAAAAAAATTAAATGTGAATGAACACCTGTAAGCAACTGGTAAGCCTTGAAGCAAAGAAATGAAGGAGGGAACTGTTTCGAAATAACATTACTATAATACAATTCGGGACATGGACAGTTTTTTACGGCAGTATTAAAGCAAACAGAAATGGCAGTTGTCAAGCAATCCAGTATTATTTTCAACAAACCAGCATTAAGTTTCATTTATTTCATAATCTGTACACTTGAACGGAGGGCACTGACTTAACTGCGTTATTCGATCAAACTAGATTACTGGGTCAAATTGGGTCCCCGGGTGAAATTGGGTCACTGGGTCAAACTGGGTCACTGGGTCAAACTGAGTCACTGGGTCAAATTGGGTCACTGGGTCAAATTGGGTCACTGGGTCAAACTGGGTCTAACTGAAAAGAGTATGACGTGACCCAGTGACCCAGTTTAATTCAGTGACCCAAGTGACCCAGTTGACCCAGTGGCCCAGTCCAACTCTGTTGTAGACCGATAAATTCAAAATATGTTGAACATGTATGTTAGGCGAATATATCTACAGTCAAAACTGTAACATGGCTTTTCACAAAAAATGTTGGACATCCTAAACGGCAACAATCGGATTTCGTTTCTTGAATTAACGGAGGGTTTTTCGCATGGAACGTAGGGTTGCAAAAACTATATCAGAAATAATCAATTCAAACATTTGTTTGAGGTAGACAGAAGTAGGAGTAGATAGACACCTAGACCGAATTACCCCTATATTTTTCCTTTAAGCAAAGCTTCTTCGTCAATGTTGAGATCCTGAACTGGCCTAGCAATTGCAATAGAAACGCTAACACAAACCTTTCCTTAGAAGCCCCTTTCCAAAGTGTTTCTCGAGATTAAAAAATTACAGGGATCTTCTTCCTCTTAGATGCTGTTTTAGATAATTTCTTCAAAATCGTCCTGTAAGTTGTAGGGAAAAGGGGGGCATAACCGGAAGAGTAAAGTTACATAAAAACTTAAAAAAAACGAAAAACCTCTTCATATAACTTGTTATAGACATACTAGGTATAGAAAACAAATATTAAACAAAATAACTCTTACCAAATAACAAAAATGATCAAAGTCCTCGTCTGAGATCGAAGGGACTTCAGCGCATTTTTTTATTCCCATTGTTGGTATCCACTTCCGACGTCCCGTTCACCAGCAATTCGCATTTTGGTAAATTTCTTTAAAAATGCTTCACAAAATAGTACCCAATTTTTGGGGCCGTTCACCCGCAATTCGAATTTTGGTAGATTTCGGTAAAAACCCTCCAGAAAATAAGACCGCGATTCCAGTTTTTAAGAAACTTTTGGGCGCTTGAGGTTACTTACCCCTGGAAGACGCGCGGTGGTTAATTTTGCACCTATGAAAAAAAAATAAAAAATCCGTCCGACAGGAGTTGTGCGCGTTTACAAGATCTTTCCAACGACACCAACCTGAAAATAATAGGACCAAAGCTGTAGAAAGAAAAATCACCACATAAGTAAACGACGCTCGGTGATGGCGCCCAGATGTACCTAAACTTGTTAATTACACGACCCCGGTAGGTTCATGTACACGCGTCGTCTTTCTACAAACGTTCTTCTACTGGCCCGCATTTACCGCCAGCCAGCCAGCCAGCAAAAGTGAGATTAAAAGCTACCTTTTTACAAATAAATTTGCAAAAATGCGCTAAAAAATATTGCTTTCTGTGAACAGTCTCTATCCGATTTTGCCCCCACCGTTGGGGCAGAACTGGTCCCGACTTGGAGCAATATCGGACAAAATATAATTAGGACTGAAATGCAACTAAATCGACTTCTCTCAAGCCAGTGCAACTTTCATGGGCGTTTGTGCATTTCACGCATTGCGCCTACCCATCATCTTTTTTTTTTGTTGTCATCATCAGAACTCTTCTTCTTTATTTCTTCGTATTCTTCTCCGTTTCCTCTTCATTCTGGCGATCACAACTGAAAACTTTTGTTTTTTTGTTTTTTGCCTTCTTCTGTTTTGCTTTTTCTGCTTGTTCCTCGACTTGTTCAATTTTTCTTCCAACTTATTTTTATATGGCGATCTTGTGAGAATGATCATTTTACCTCGTTTACGACAATTTGGTTTCGCTAATATCAAAGCTTGTGGTACCGGAAACAGGTCCTTTGACGATTTTGAAAATGTCGAAGGACAAGGCACCGGTGCAAGGTGCAGGCACACAGGTGTTAGTTAATAGTGAATCATCAATGGGGCAGAACCGGAAATAGAAAATTTTGCCCGTCCTATTGTGCCCCACGGGACTTCTAATATGAACATTTATCAAAAACATCGCAAATTTCTCTTTATATAGATTAGAGGTAGTAATATAACCGTATATAATACGTCTGTTGCGCGGTTCGTTCGGTTCTTATTGAATTTTTTTAATTTGAACAGTACAATAAACAAAAGGAAGAAAGCAAAAGACTTAAATACAGTTAAACCCCAAAGGCAAAAAGATGCAAAAGGCAAATGATTTTCTAAATTAAGCGTTTACCTTATATAAAGCTCCCAAAATACGGAGAGGGAACGTAGGAAACTTGCCGGCGTATTCGTTTAATACTGTCCAAAAATTACAACTTCTTTAATTATACGCCCGGCTGACGGCCTAAAAACCTGTAATGGGTCCCAAAATTCAAATCAATTAAGAGGGCTTCTGTTGATGCCCCACGTGACTATATGGAATGACGTTTACTGAATTTATGTTAATTTCACTTAGGTACTTAATTAAGCGGAAGTAGAAATCTACAAGCGGTAGTCCCTATTGTTATATAACACCTATTGTTAATTGCATTGCTATCAAGCTAATAACCGCGTAAACATGCATGGCCTTGCGGTTCCAATGTTCTAAGAAACAGAAACCTAATAATGACTTAATGTGCCTGAAATTCTAAAATCATAATTTGCTCGCTTCGTCTAAATGAGAAGATCTTTCGGATGCAACAATTAAAATATCTTGACGAGAACGGTTGCAAACGGCGGATTAGTTGCAGCGTTAATTACGGTAGCGGCGGCTGAAGCACAGCTCTAACAATTAAATCAATTACCTTGAGCTTCTATCTTCAACTCTTAGAACCAAAACGACATTTTCGTACCGAAGCGCCTCTTTATACCGGGCGTTCATACACAGAGTGGTCATCAAAACTGGTGGAAATTGGGTGCTGCGTTACAATAAATCAAACATATTATACCAATCGTTCGTAAGTTTAAGACACCCGAAACTCGCCCTGTAAATGATAATAAGCTGTTTATATTACCGGTTTTGAATTCCTTTTCGATTGTGGTATCGCAGGCGACTTGAGGAACCCTTGGCTTAGAGCTACTGATACCTGCAGCTTAATAATAAATAAATTGTTTCTACCCTTGACTAGTAATAGTGCTGGATTTCTAGTACGTGGTATGATTTCCTGCATGATGATAAGCGGAAAATTCTTAACGATGTAACTGGCAAAAACGAGCAAAAATCTACGACGAAAATGTACAACGATGATTCCTAAATTTTTGCTTTACACTTTTCTGTATTTTGTTTAATTCGACTTTACCTAACTGTAAAATAGCTTTACGTTTAAATTGTGTGTTATGGTGTTTTTCCTATCTACACTTTCCTTATATCGTTTTAATCGGTCTGTATACATTGATAGTTGTTTTGTGAGTGTTCGTTGTAGTTTGTGTTTTGTTCTCGTATGGTGAAATAGTTTAGTTTTACAGTTAGGTTATTATTATTATTATTATCTATTTTTTTAAATAGGTTTTGGTAAAGATAACTGAGGTCTTACGTCATTTTATCATAATGATGCGCACCATTTTATACCTCAAACATATTGTTATGTAAACTCAGGTGAAAACTACGTCATGTGAATAATTTTATTGGTATGAGCACCTAAAGTTATGTTGGGTCACCCTGTATGAGTTAAATTTTAATTTGTTAAGGTTAAGTGCGGTTGTTAATTTGCTTTAAATACAAATTATCCGTTTTGAATGATTTATTGTTCAGTTGGATTACCTTAAGGAAGATTAGGGCATATGGAAATAATTCCGTTAAGTGTTTTTTAAAACTTTATCCCACTTAAATCTGGTCTCACGATAAGGAATTCGTTATTTCTCCGTGAAGGTTAATTAATTTGAAAATCAACAACCGCATATTCAAGTTAGACGAGAGTGGTAGCCGGCCGTCTTTTTTAGTGGACTTGAGTGTTGTGCAGCAGTCATGACATAATTGAGGCTTTCATTAGGGGTTTTCCAAGTATTCCAAAAAGTCAATATCACATTTTAAATCACAACAAAACCAATCAGTTAAACAAACTCATAGTTATGACCAGATGTTAGGAATATATTAAGATTTAAAGGTACCTAATTAGAATGTTCTTTTAAATTTGATTTGTTTCAATCGATCGCATGTGCGTGGTACTTTGTTTATAGGCCATGAGTGGCTTTCCTTCATACAGGTTTATTGATTGATTTTTTTATCGAATAAATTTATGGCGTGTATAAATAATCAACTGTGTACTTAATCGAGTCCACATTTAGTTTTTCCATTTGTACCCAGAATTATGTTAGGTGTTAATTAAACATGTTTTAAATAACTCTTTGGAATTGTAAGGAGTTGATCAGGGCTGCTGAGTTTCCCGAATTAATAAAGTCTTCATCGCTTCTTCATTTTTGAAGATGAGATAGAAGAAGTTCAGATGTG